TTAGAAGGACAAAAGATCTCTTTATTACATTAATTGCCGAAGCATGCTTGTAATTAAATAACTCATTGTGCTTTACCAAAAAAAAGTAAAAAAATACCTCATTGTGTTTTCTAGCATGCATGTAATTAAATAACTTCTCCAATTTTGTGGTGCACATCAATTAATGCATGTAATTTCTGACCTGAAAAGCCTTGGACATAATCAGGTAACATTACATGGGCCATAAACCATATATGAAGCCCAAACAATTAAAGATTAATTTTAGAAAATTACTCAAGCCCAAACAATAACAATATAATCAACCTTAATTTGAAAAAATTAATGAGCTAGAACAGCGTGCAATAGAGATTTAGGGCCTGTTTGGAGCACCTGATAAAGAAGATAGGATAGGATAACTTATCATATCCTACTTTTATCTCTTGTTTGGTGGGTCAATAGGATATGATTAGTTTATCCTATTGTCTCATTTTATCCTATCCAATACATGATTTCTTATCTTATAGGAAGTAAACTTAAGGTCCAAGGCAACTCCACCGCGCCTTAGCACCAGTAAGCAACAGACAGCTTCAGCTCGCCACAACCCTGCCTGACCTGCAGCCCAAGGCTGGCCACTCAGAAGCCATGCCGCCTTAACAAAGGCGGCATCACAACTACTATATAAATACACAATATACCACTAAGTTACGATCACCCTTTAATTTCACAACATAAACACCTGCCTCTGATACTGACTTAAGCATCGGAGTGTCTTCGCAAGTACCCCCCATTCGGTGCATCGTGAAGGACAAAGGGCTCAAGCTCGCTCTAACAACAGTATATGGCCCAGGCCAATAACCGCTGAAGGAGTCTCAACCGTGTGTGATTGGGCTTAATACGTATCGGACAGTCCATACCGTATTTGGTCTGATCAGTAATATTGATTAAGGAGTAGCGTAAAAAACGTTGATAGTAGATAAAAATTACAATCCTTTTATAATTTAGCCAGTTTGAGATGTCATACTTTCTTATACGTAATTTAATAATCATTTTATGGAGATTCTCTCTCGCTGTCGTTTTAATAGAAACACATACGTATTGGTCCCATTAGGTTGGATGATATTCTCTCTCACTGTCGTTTTACTATAAACGCTTAGCTGATATGTATCCAAAAAAAAAAAAAAAAAAAAAACTCGTAGTTGATAAGAGAATAACTTGTTCCTTGCTTGTTATATTTGTACAAAGAAGTTATTTTCCTCGTAACTAAACTTGTACAAAATGTACATATATTTTTCAATTATTTTATCTTCATACATCAGTCAACCAACATCCATATAGTCGTAGGTACTTAATTTATTAAATGCTGGATCCTAATTATGTATAATACATCTGAACTGTTAAAGTAATATATCAATAGAAAATAAGACAGGGATATGAATTTAAAATTAACAACGGAGTCATTGTCAAAGGGGGAATACTATAGTGACCAGACTATCCTGTTTTTGGCAATTTTTTATCAATATATGTTATGTAAACAGTATGTTTTATCAGATTATCATGCGTTGAAGTTTGATATGATTGTAAGCGAACTTGATAGTCAATAATTTCATGACATGTGACACACTTTCACAGAAAAAGCTAACTAGAAGAAGTTCACTGACAGAGGTAGCGAACTTGGTGCGCTATGTGACACAATCTCATTGCCCTATCAAAATTAATGTATCAATCACAATAATAATAAAAAAAAAACAAAGAAAAAGGGCTGTTTAATTAATAGATCAATCACAATTTGAGATTAACTTTGATTGTACTAATCACAATTAATGTACCAATCACCAATCAGCAATCAAGATTGTACTAATCACAATTAATGTACCAATCACCAATCACCAATCACCAATCACCAATGATTGATGATTGGTGATTGGTACATTAATTGTGATTAGTACAATCAAAGTTAATCTCATTGGTATACTAATTGAGATTGGTACATTAATTGTGATTGGTATATTAATTAAACAACCCTTTTTCTTCGTTTTTTTTTATTGTGATTGATACATTAACTCTAATCGGGCAACGAGATTGTGCCACATATAACGCACCAAATTCACGACCCCTGGTAGCGAACTTCATCTGGTCAACTTTTCGTGCAAAAAAAATGTCGTGTTTCACGAAATCATTGACTACCAAGTTCGCTACCCGTCGTAGCGAACTTGGACAAATGACAATTAGTTTTCTTGCGAAAGTGTGTCACGTGTCAAGAAATCACTGGCTACCAAATTCGCTACTAGTCGTAGCAAATTTCAATGTGTGACAGTCTAGTAAATTTTACTGTTCGCGTGACAGATTGATAAAAATTAGCAAAAACATGACAACCTGATCACTGTTTCTTCGAAGGGTCTCAGACGAAAGTTGAAAATTAACAGGGACACACCGGCTCTTCAATGGAGAATAGGGATACTTATGGGGTTCAGATTTGCATCTATTCCCCGCGCATGAACAAGAATCTAAGAATTTTTCTAGCTGAAACTTCAAAGGTACATTTAGGTGGGTTGAGACTTAAGATTAACGTTATTGAATTTCAATATACATAGCATATCGTTTGATCCATTTTTTTATATCACGTATTGTGAATCGTATCAAATTGTAAGATTTAAAAAAATAATAAAAAATAATTTAAAAATATATAATATCATATAAATTCAAATTTCAAAACAAAAAAATCCAATCAGCATAAATCAAATCTTTGTTTTCTTTCCCTTATTAATAATGACTTTTCAGATTTTTTTTTAAATAATTTAAAAATATATACTATCATATAAATTCAAATTAAAAAAATATTCAATCAGCACAAATCAAATCTTTGTTTTTCTTTCCCTTATTAATAATGACTTTTCAGATTATTTTTTTTTGAATTTGTATCACAAATTATATCTTTATTTACTTTTCAGAATTTTTTATATGAAAATTCCAAATTTTTGTATCGTATATTTGATACGATATACAATTTGATATCATATCATACAATATAGCAATACACAGTCGGATACAAGGTCCATTTCGAAATAATCAACTGATACGTATTGCGTAGATTCTGAATTGTATTGTATCGATGATACATATCGTGTATCATATATCGTGCGATACTAACAACTATGGTTGAGACGCATTCTATGTGTTTGGAGTTGTGCGAAGACATGAGCCGCGTTATTAAACAAGGAAATAAAAATTGTCACTTTATTTAATCTTTTACATCATCACGTTATATGAAATTTTCATATAGGATCATATCCACTTCCACCTATACACGGAAAATTTTTCAATACAACAGTCGTAGCTCGTAGGTAAATCCGAACAATAGGAGTGCATGGCATCTGCTTGTGTTGTATCGAAAGAAAAAAAAAAAACTACTTTTATAATTTACATAATGAGAAATATACTATCGTATCCAATTTTCATACCCAAAAAGCATTTCACCTGCACCCTCTCACTCATTAATTAATTAATGTTTTTTTTTTTAAAAAAAAAAACCCGCGTGTAAAGTGTGTGAGAGAGATCTTAACCATATAGGAAACTATCATTATTATAATCTGTTCTAACTCGATTCCTTTTTTGTGATTGATGAGGTTGACCGAAAGAATGACATAGGAATTATAAGTCGACTGGTATTGGGCTCCAATTACGTAGCGCATCTCAACACACAGTCCATCGTTAATTAATTTGGATTAGTCCCAAATAAATGCATGCAACCCTGTCATTGACTCATTGTATCTCTGTTCAGAACATTAATATTAGTAATATTTATTTACTTTTTCAAGATAACCTAGTTTTTGCGCTTTAAAAAAAAAAAATTAGAATCGGAAACATTTAAATATTTTCGAAAAAAAAAATTTAAAACTTCATTGTATATAGGAGATAGGATCCTTTGACACCGGTATCAAATTTGAAGTTTGACACCTCATCTGAGAGCCGTTAGATCAAAAAAGATCAATGGTATCACATGCTTACAAATCAGAGTCGTTGATCTTTTTTGATCTAACGGCTCTCAGATGAGGTGTCAAACTTCAAATTTATCACCGGTGTCAAATGATCCTCCCTCTATATATAGATATATATACCCGTTTCTTGTTTCTGCTTCAAAACTCATTCAGTTACACCCCAGTTACGTAGCGCATCTCTACACCGTTCTATCAATTTATATTTGCCACAAATTCATGCATATATATATATATATATATATATATATATATATATATATATATATATATATATACATACCATGTCAATATAACTGGTTTAGAAAATTAATTAAAATTATTATTATAGATAATTAAGATAAAAATTAGTTATAAAATTTAGTTTTTCAAGATAATTCTTCACACCTGCTCTCCTTGAACCTTTTTTTTTTCACCTCTGTAATAAGATAAATACTGAAAGGTGGATTTTCGTTTTTTTGCTTATGTGTCAGGAATCAGAGTCAAATGCAAACTGTAAGATAATAATATGGAGGAAATATGGATAAGAGATAACTTCCCTAATTTTTAGTTTTTTTTTGGATAAAGTCATTTTTTTGAAAAAAAAAAAGGAAAGATAAATCCAATCATTTCCAACGTCAAAATCTGACTGAGATTTTATCACAAGGAAACATTTGTTTCCAACTAATATTTTTGAAAAAAGAAGAAGTTGAAATCGTATGACTCAAAAACAGATTTCGCCATAAGAAGATAATTACGTATACCTATCTATATGGGATAGGATACTGTTACAACCAAATAATGTTACTACTAACGTTACTATCACATCTTAACAGTTGATTTCTGTCCATCAACGGTTATCATTTATTGTGAATAAATTAAAATAAAAAATAAAAATAAAAACCTCTATATATATATATCAGTATATAACCGTCTTCAGCTTCAAAGTTCACGCATTCTGTTCTTCCTTTCATTCTCTCTCTCTCTCTCTCTCTCTCTCTCTCTCTCTTCAGTGTGTTTTCTGAGTCACAAAATCTGTGCAGAGAAAAAATGGTGAGCGCTGCTGCATTAGCCAGAAACGTCGTTGGCATTATAGGTTTGTTCTCTCTTTGAATCGCAACATGAACTTTGTGTGGCTTTAAACCAACATCCTCAATCAATGCGTGGTCAAAATTTCTCTGTTCGAGTTTTGATTTGAATTGATTATTGTTTGTTGTTTTGTTTAAATCATTATAGAACGTTATTTTCTGGAAGGAAAACTAAAACTCTCCAGTTCAAACTGTTTTTGAGTTCTAGTTGATTTTTAGCAGTTCGTTAATAAATTTACGAATGAAAAAAGAAAAAAAAAATATAATGAAAGAACGTTTTGATCGGTTTATGTTTCCAATGCTGTGTTTCTGATCAGAGTTCGTTCTTCTGTGCAGGCAATGTCATCTCCTTCGGCTTGTTCTTCTCACCAGCGTAAACTCTCGCTTTCTCTGTTTACTCTGTTTTTTACATTACATTTTTTCATGCGTTATTGATCACAAACACACATATATATAAATTAGGGTTCGTTTTTTTTTTCTGCAAAAGAGACAAAAAAAAACGGGACTTATTGGTTTTTAAAAAAAATTACCAGGATCTCAAAATAGTATCCTGTTGTCATTACATGTTGTAGATCTTTTTTTTAGCAACATAAGAAGTATAAAGCTATATAATTATAGAGTTTTATACTTCTTATGTTGGTGTAGAAAAAAAAAAATCTGCTGCAACATGTAATGACACCAGGATATAACATGGATACTGATAAAAAAATTTGAACCCATAAATTAATAAATAGCTGCATGTTTGTTGTGGTTGAATATAATGCATCAGTATAGTTAAAGCTTCATATGGTGGTTTATGAAAAATTCTTGTACCCAGACACAAGATTTATTAATTAAATTCATTGAATGAGGAGGGATCTTTTCATCTCAACAGTTGATTTTTGTTTATTTAAGGGTCTATTTTATTTAGAATTAATAATTGATTAATTGATATAACTCAAAACATTTTAAGTGTTCGATGGCTAGAAATTAAAGAGTTTTATATTGAAGTCAAAAGATATCTCTTTATATTAAATGATTACATAAAGTTTTTTATCATCCAAATATTTTTTTGTAAAGTGATAATATATCAATTGACGATTAAAGTATACTGAATTGTGTACGCCATTATATAATAATGCACTGTTTTTTTCTTTTTTTTGTATACAAGAATTTTCAAAGAAAAAAAAACCTAAGAAATTCTGAGTTATTCATTATATGAATGAATTGCAGACCAACTTTCTATGGAATTATAAAGAAGAAGTCAGTGGAGGAGTTCAAGGCTGATCCTTATATAGCTACTTTGCTGAATTGTGCGTTTTGGGTGTTTTATGGAATGCCTTTTGTTCACCCAAACAGCCTTTTAGTCGTCACTATCAATGGCGTTGGCCTTGTGTTTGAATTCGTCTACCTTGCCATATATTATATCTATGCTACTAGCCAAAAAAGGGTACGTATGCTTCCTCTTTGGTTATGCCATTCATTTCTGCAGTTTTGCTTATTTGTATCATTCCCATGTGAATAACTTATTATCTTGCTAATATAATGCGAAATGTCTGGAATAGCCTATATATTACATAATCAATCCCTAATTTTTCAATTTGCTTTCAAGTCCCAAAAACTACGCAGCCTAATTGAATGTTTAAGAAACGCTGGAAAGGCTTTATGTTAATGTAGCCATTTCTGCTCTGCCACTAATTGTCTTTCTCTAATTTCAGAAAAAGCTGCTGCTTTTTGTTCTCGGAGAGGCTATTTTCTTTGCTGCCATTGCTCTTATAACAATGCTGGCTGTGCATGGCACTCGGAAAAGGTCGTTAGTAGTTGGTATTCTCTGTGATATCTTCAATATTATGATGTATGTCTCTCCTCTTACAATCATGGTAAGTCTTTAATTTATATATCCCATAACTTAATTACATTATAAGGTCGTACCTTTATATACCAATTGGAGTCAATTCTATAAAAATTTCTCACTCCAACTTATCTTGGTCTTGGTATATATAATGAACAGGCAAAGGTTATTAAAACTAAGAGCGTGAAATACATGCCATTCTGGCTCTCTGTGGCTAACTTCCTTAATGGTTGTTGCTGGACAACTTATGCTCTTATCCACCCCTTTGACATTTATGTTCTGGTAACTAATTACCTCACTCTCTTAAATAAGATCACTTTTCTTCAATGAAATTTTGTTATTAATCGTTACCTTTGGTATATTCTTGCAGATCAGTAACGGTATTGGAGCAATTTCTGGACTTATTCAGCTCATACTATATGCTTGCTACTATTCCTGCAAAGGAGAAAACGATGATGATGAGAAACATCCCGCAAAGCCAGCTGAGATTGAACTCTGATGGCATCCCAAATATCTAAACTTTCTTTCTTTTCTATCTCTTTACTCCTTCTATACCTTATTTTTCTCTCTGTCCTGTGATTTGGATGACAACAAAAAATTTATGTAGTTATTTTTTGTTAAGCTGGTGATTGTTTTTAAAATATGCATGTGCAATGCGTATAGTTGAGAACTACAGTTCAGGTTTTTCATTTTCAGCTTCCAGAATTGTAAGTAGGAATCAGCTTCTGGACCATAACTCTCAATTTTGATATCTATTTCCAGCAACGTTAGCCTGCCTATTATATTTACATCTTGTGTCATGTTCTGAACGCTGCTTGCATTTTTAAGTTTAATAAACTTATAAACAGTATATGTCATACATAGCACTAGATATTCAACACAAGATGACACTCATTGGTGACATGATCTGCAACTCTACTTTCCTAATTCTAGTTATAATCCTTGTCAGTTTGGAGACTCCAGTCTCGGATTAGACATAGGACAGAGTACACTCTCATCGTTTGAATTTATAAAGAGCATTGCTATTTATCACGCAAGGATTAAAAACAAAAGAAATAATTTTAGAAGTAACTTCATACGTGTACAAAATTTACTCCTTTTAGTTTCGTAGATATTAGCACTTTTCAATTATAAATCTTTCTGAACAATGAAACGTGATTGTGGCTTTAAAGCTAACCAAAAGCTTCGAAATAAAATTTTTGACTATTCATAAGTGAATAGATTAGATCATAACTACATTTGCGTTATTTTTTTTTTCATCGTATATTTGTGACTTTTTCTTTTCTTTTTGAAAAAAAAAAAACTTTTTTGTAAAAGAAAATAAAAATATTTTAATTACCAGTGCATCAAGTTCTATAGCTGCACCAAATGGTGGTTATTCAGGTGGTAGCAACTAGCAAGGAGCTAAGTAAGTGAAAAATAACTTCAGTTTGGTTCCCAAATTTCACATTTGAGAAATGTTTAAATATCTTCATCCTTAACTCGTCTTGCATTTTGAATTAGTCTCGTAATCAGTTCAAAAAGTTGAAATTTACGAGGATATTAGAAAAGAGTCAACTCACTTTAAAAAACATAATTAGAATTGAATTAACTCTAAAAAAAAAAGTTGTAGAGCTGCATATAATTGCAAATATAACAAAGGAAATTATGACATTTCCACGTCAATAAATGTGCCCTGCTATCGTGCTCTTTGGCGTTTCTCGTTGTGTAGAGTGAGGAATTTTGGTTTTGGAAATTGTAATGAGGTCTTACTCCTTCAGGAAGTATTTCTTCTCTTGCCCAACATGAAAGTTTTGCCATTTCAAGTTACATGAATTGTGTTTGTGTGGCTGTTTGACCTAGGGGTCTAAGCTAAGCAGCTGAAAATTAGCAAAATAGATTGACGGGGCGTTTGGTAGATGGTTTCTGGTAGAATGGATGGGTAAGTGAGAGTCGAATACCATCAATACCATATTTGGTAGAGGGTTAAAAAAATAAAATCAGGCAACCTTATTATCCATGCAAACTCAAGTTATCTGTAAATTGATGTCAAAAACACTGTTTGCAAATACCACCTCTAGGGAAGTGAAAAAATTGGCGCGATATTGTAGACTGAAATGCCTCTCATTCAAATGTAATCTGAGACTCTGTTGGTAGGAGAGACAGAGATATGGATGACGGAATACGTTGGAGGAAAGATCTACTTCTATTCATATTCAAAAATTAAAAAGGGGTTAATTTGGTAATTTTAATCCATTTATCTATCAATATTTTATCTTCAACCAAACATAGACTTATAAAATTCTATCCAATTTTTCCAATAAAATTTTGGTCAACCAAACAACTTTTTTTTTTCTATCAAACTTCATTTCCCACCATATCCCTAGTAATTATATTTCTCTAGTGTCGCAACCGTATCGCGACGTGACGACGAAAGAAATATTGAATGGTTAATACAATGGAGTCGCCACCAAAGTTTATTTAGGAAAACATTGGAAAAACCTTTTTTAAAGACAACTGGTCTTTGAAAACAAAAGAAATGGATTCGGGAGTCGATTACGAGTAGGGAAGGTATTAGCACCCTACACCGTCCGTTAAAAAACGGTTACCTTATATTAATTGTGCAAATTATTGATAATATTTTAAATATTTATTTCTCCCTAAATAAGTAAAATTGATCATTGGAAAAGAAAAATAATTTTAAAATTTTATTTTTGTGCTTGACGGGAAGAGTCCCGCTCCGACGTATCCCTCGGTACAATAGGGAACTCAAAGCTACGTCGTTCTGTAAAAAATATTTGTGTGTTGATTGATTTTAATTTTGAAAGTAGTTTTAAAGAAAATAATTTGAAAGTTTTGGATTTGATGGTTTCGGAATATCAAACTGTCGCAGTTAAAATAATCCGAAATGATAATTGCAGGATTAACAAGCTGTCTCAACTCAGTTAATCCTTTCTTTTAAAGAATAATAATATTAATATTAATATTTTTTGTTATCGTAAATTTTATGTTAAATTTGACTTTATTTTGAATCACCAAGCCGTCACGGCAAAAATGAGTCAAAACAAAATGTGTGGGGTTAACAAGCCGTCACAGCTCAGCTGACTCCCATTTCAATTGATAGCAAACTAACTTTCTTTATTCTTTATTTTTTGAATTAACCCAAAATTAGTAATAAAAAATTATGATTATTTGTTTGTTTATTTATTATTTCTAAAATTGTTTAAAATCATCGGACTGTCACAGTCGAAATGATTTTAAGAATAATGGGATTAACAAGCTGTCACAACTCAGCTAATCCTTTTAACATATATTTCATGTTATTTTATGATAAACTTAAATGAATTTTGAATCACCAAGCCGTCTCGGCCAAAATGATCCAAAACAAAATCTATGGGATTAACAAACCGTCACGGTTAAATTACCCACCTAAATTTAATATGATAATTTGGAAATATTGATAAAATCTAACTGGATTTTGGGTCATCGTTAGTATAATGTAAAGAAATATTATTTGAGAAATTGCAACATCGTTTCCTGAATGTTAGATCATGAAAACTAACGTTTATTAATCTATAATATTAGAATATTTCTTTCTTCTTGTTATAATAAACAAAAAAAAAACAAAGTATTATGTTACCTTCAAAAGGCAACGCTGTGAATGCGCAGGTACATGGACAAAAACAATGATGTTTGCAAATTTACATTATTAAAATATTCAAATCGTTTTATAACACGACAAAGTATTGTTACCACTGTTAGTATAAAGCAAAGGAATTGGAGTGAGTCAAACAAATGGCATATTGCTTCGTGTGTGCATGCCATGGAGCTTATGTTTGATGATCCATTAAAATAACTATTTAGCAAGAATCAAAAGATACAATGAAATATTAAAATATTAAAACATGCAACATGACAGCATTCATCATGATAGTGTACGTGCCTAGATCAAGAAAGCTGAAATTTGCTAATCTTATATTAAAATATTCATTTCATATATATCTTATAACTTAGAATGTGGTTCCTGAACCACCTTTTTCTTGTTCTCCACATTTGTTTCTAATTTTATTCCCTTATCACACCATTTAATATTATAATAAATAGCAAATACAAAGACACAAAAGCAATCCTTTGAAATGAAACGTGTACACACATTCTTTAGCAACGAATACACATATTGAATGACTAATGCATATAAACTTCTTTTAACCAAAATATTAAAACTGACCTTGGGTTTAGAATCCATGGTGGAGAGAAACTTAACAAGATACTCCTCTTAACATCTTGATGGAAATGTGTAAATCTTGGAGGTTGCTTCAGTCAGTGGTGGTAATGGCAACCGGCTGGTGCGTGGAAGTGGTGGGTAGATACAGGTGATCAGGAATGGAAAATGAAGGAGAAGGTTCTTGGATCTTTTACTGTGATGAAGATGAAATATAGAATTGATATCACTTATTGATTTCACCTCCTTCTTTTTAGAAAAAAATAAAATTACTGAACCTCTAGGAACCCCCTCTCTCAGTTGTGTCGCCTTTTTTATATCATGGCTGAAGAAACTATTGTGTCATTGGTACTTGCCATTTTCCAATCTGCACATATTTTTCAACCTTCTATTCCCCTCCTCTTGCATGGCATTATACATGTAATATATATAGGCATCCTCGGCACTTGTGATGTATGGGCAGCGAAGCAACTGCAGCAGGTGGAACAAATTAAATATTGCAACTTGCAATCTCACATTACGTAAGTGGTCCAATCAGAAAGTTGCTTCGCATTGAAGAATTGGAAGCTGCACTGTGCATGAGTTACTGGCACCGCTTTTTGCAGGAAGCAAAAGATAATCTCACGGGGTCCAATAAAAAGAATTCTTCAACTTGAAGAATTCAAGCTTTCACCGCCATGAACATGAGCCAATTAATATATGCTAGTTAAACCCTTTTATTTATTTATTTTTTATTATTATTATTTTATTATTATTTTTTTGCTTTTTTTATTATGTGTTAGGACAAAATTAAGTGATTACATCTAGTGAAAAAAAATTTCTTCTCTACCCGGAGGCGGGAATGATTTTCTTAATAGGATGGTCCCATATGGTGACATTAGTTAGTAGTTTTTTTTTTTTTTTTGAATTTGAATAGAATGGATATGGATTAATTAAATGGTCTAACATGATGTAATTTGAATAGAATCACGATTCTCTAGCTACACTCACCAAATTAAGCCACGAGCCACAACCTGGTTGGCCTATTACCTTTGTTTAAAATTAAAAAAAAAAAAACATTTGCCCTTCTCTAGCTACACTCACCAAACTAAGCCACGAGCCACGAGCCACGATCTGTATCCTGCGTTTTATAAGAATTTCTATCGGACGATATAATATACTATACGATATGTATCGTGTATCATATGATATAAAAATTTAATTAAAATTTATAATTTTTAATATAAAAAAATAAAGATTTGATTTATGATTTAAATAAAAAAATTATTATTAATAAGAAAAAGAAAATAAAGATTTTT